GTAAAAAAAAAAAAAAAAAAAAAAAAGTCAGCAGCTACAAAAACTGTACCTGCTGACTTTTAAAATACAGCCACTTACCTTTCCCACAATCCCGTGCTGTCCTCCCCACAGCCCATTTCACCGTCTGTACTGTGTTCCAGGCGCTGGCATCTTAAGTGTGGACACCTGGCTGTGACAGCTTGCGGCTTCACAGCTGGGTACCCACTGCGCATGCGCAAGTAGCACTTCATGAATGGTCTTGTAGTCTTCTGGGACCTGTCACATGTCCCAAAAGACTACAGGGAGGGATGGAGGACACCTTCCACTTCCGAACACCTAGGCGAACGGACCGAAAGTGGGAGTGGGTACCTGTCAAATTTGGGTACCCGCTCCCCCCCCCCCCGCTGCGCTTCATGAATGGCCCCGTAGTCTTCTGGGACCTTTCATGTGTCCCAGAAGACTACGGGGAGGAAGGGTAGGAGGAAAACTCGCCTAAAGTGATCGCAACAGAAGTGGGAGTGGGTACCTGTCAATTTCCCGCTCCCCAAAAGGTGCCAATCCTTAATGGAGAGTGGGGGACAAAGACTTAAAGAACTTTCCCTTTTAGGTGGAGCTCCGCTTTAAGGAAGCATTAGTTTGTCTCCACTTGGCTTTCATCTTTCGGTCAACCTGAAGGAGAAAATTTGGAGAGAGGAATTTGTTGATGTATTATCGCTGTTACCTTCTGCTAAAGAGTTTGTTCACAGGGCTGACAGAAAAGATGAAAAAACGGAGGATAGGATAAGGCCTGTGACCAAATCATTTAACAATTGGTTGCAGGCCATAGACATATGACATATTGACACAGCAGATGCATTATCTCAAATCGTTACTTCAGTTTGCTACCAGACGCGAATCCAATCGGGTTGGATTGTCCAGCTCACTTATGGAAGCTCATTTAAATCCAGTTATTAGTAATATTAAGAACTCAATTGCTCCCACCACTATGGCAGGATATCAATCAGCCTGGTGGTTGTGGATTTCTTTCCTAAATTCTTTGGGTTTAGCTCAGGACATATTTTCAAAGGTTTGATCCTGTTGTTTTTAAACTCACTGTTTGAAAAGAATTACTCATGGGCTCATGTCAATACAATTATTTCAGGAGTATCATTTTTCTTAAAATTAAATAGCTTACCCTCTGCTTTTAATTTCTTCTCTGTAAAGCAAGCATTAAAGGGTTACAGGAAGGTTAGGTTTGTTAACCACTTCCTGTCCGGACACTTTTACCCCCTTCCTGTCCAGGGCAATTTTCAGCTTTTAGCATCATAACATTTTGAATGACAATTGCGCGGTCATGCAACACTGTATCCATATGAATTTTTTACCATTTTTTTGAGAAAGATAAAGCTTTATTTTGGTGGTATTTATTCACCGCTGGGATTTTTATTCTTTTTGCTATGTAAATGAAAATGTCCAAAAATTTTGAAAAAAAGAAAAAAAAAGTGTTTTTCTTATAAAATTTTGCAAATAAATAATCTTTCATCATAAATCTTGGCCGAAATGTATTCCGTTATCTTAATAAAAAAAAATAAGCCAAATTAGTTTATAACCAAAATTTATAATTTTTTTTTTTTTTTTCCATTTCTATTTTATTTATTTTTTACATACGGTCACCCTAGCAGTACAGTGTCACCATGGTGACACTACTACTTGTGGGGGGTGATGAAGATTTTTTTTTTTTTTTTTTACAGTGATTGCTTTTACATCCTATATGGGTGTAAAAGCAATCATTTCTCTTTCTCTCTGTCTGCATTCTTGCAGCCATTGAGAAATACTGAGTGAGCTGTGATTGGTCACAGCTTGTGACATGGTACAAGTCTGTTGTGAATAGCATTGTACCATGTGACCTCTGTGATCATTCACAGATTTCACACGTAGTAAGCAATGATGTCACAAGTGACATCTTGCTTACTACTTTGCATGTGATCACTGATTGGCCTATCAGTGATCATATGATCGGGACCTCGTACAGAGGTCCCATTCGACGATCGGTGTTTCACTGTGTTCGGAGGACACAGTGGGCACAGCATAGTGGTGCTGCGCGCTCCCAGGGAGCGCGCGCAGCTGGAAATAGTGGGTACCGTTTATGAACGCCAACCCGCCCCTGGAGTGCCACTGTCCTGCCGTTTATAAACAGCAGGCGGACGGCAAGTGGTTAAGGTCAGCTGTAGGTCAGTTACCACCGGGATCCTGTGGGGCCTTTGTAAAGCCACAGAATCTATTTGCTGGTCAGCATTTGAAGCTACTTTATTAAAAGCAGTTTTTTCAGTGGCCTTCTTTGCTGCCCTCAGGATTTCTGAATTGATTCCAAATAATCGATACAAAATATCAGGCCTCCAGTTTGGTAACATCATTGTTGGCAATGGTACAATTAGGATTTGTATTCAGCGCTCTAAGATTCATCAGTTAAGTATAGGCTCATGGATCAGTCTAAGTTTGTGCAAAAATGCTGTTATATGCCCATTTAATTTGCTGAAGTCATGCCTCACATTAAGGCCTAATTTTAATAAACTATTTTTTTATTCATGAAGATGGTGTCCCTATGCTGTTACACAGTTAATATTTATGTTAATTTTAAATGAGAATTCATATAGTTTATTCTTTGTACCATTTCCTATGGATATTTCTATAGTTAGTTATATGCTGCCATCCAGTGGCCTTATTTGTTTTTCATATTACCTCCCTGAGATCTATGACACAATTCCTGTGCATATGAAGCTCCTCCCTTCTTGAGTACATCACTTCCTGTGTCATGGATGCAGCTAACAGACCACATGTAACAGGGACACATGTATTCTGCATAGTACGCTACAGAAATTATCATCTTTTGACCGCATAATACTGGAACCATTCATTCTGCTGTATCCTGTTGTCACATGTACAGAATAAAGCAACTTCTGGATGAACACAGTATTGGTGAGTTCAAGCTATCTGATAAGGATTGTCCACAGTGATTATATCTGCTTATACAGGCTAGGCAGAGAGGTCTCACAAGGGATAAATTGCTATCACAACAATCTGAGTCAGAATAGTCCCTCTTGCTAAATATCAATTCACAAGTGTTTTAAAAAAATGTCAGCAGAAGGTGCAATATATTTGCCTAACATCACACTCATTTAGAATTGGGGTTAGCCACTGAGGCTTCTAGATTAGGTCTTGATGTTAGCATGGTTAATAAAAGAATTGGTAGGTGGAAGTCAGATGCTTTCTAGCTTTATGTGCGTCCTAACCCATCTATTTAAAATGTTTTAGATCATTTGAAAGTCGTTGGTCACTCTTTCGTTTATTAGGCAAATCAGAGAGCAGCGAAACGAGTTTATACTGAGGACTTGGGTTTCAACCAAAAGAAGTTTAAGGTATTTCGGAGTGGCAGGTGTGGCATGGTATGGTCTGGTGTGACTTGATCCTGGAGCTGGGCAGATTATACCAACGCTGGCCTGCCCCTAACATCTTGATTATTCATTTAGGAGGCAACGACATTGATCAGATGAAAATGCTGAATTTAATTTTTAGAATTAGGGATTGTTATATTCCATCTTTCTTCTCCAAAAATGGTGGTGTTTTAAGAAGAGATCCCATGTTTAACATGGATGGAATCTAATTCGTTATGCTCCCTAGAGAAGTTTAGGAAGAGACTAAACAGGGCTATTGAAAAATGTTTGGCTTCCTTTGGGAGTTTTTCCTTTAAGCACACAGAGTTAGAGGGTGGACTCCACGGTCTCTATAGGAATGATGGAGTCCAACTTTATGACGTTGGGCTGGATATATTCAATGCAGGTCTGTATTGAAATGGCTGCGGTGCAGGGGTCTTTGTGACAGGTGGTTACACCACCTGTTTTTTTTGATATTTGAAGTTATTAAATTATTCTGGCTTGAGCCGTATGGCTGAGCCGTTTGAGTCTTTGGATATTTAAATAAAAGTTTTGAAGAGTATAGTTGTTATATTTAATTGAAACCAATAAAACGGCGGCAGCCTATTTTATCCAGCCTGGTTTTGGTGTGTCATTATTTATCCAGTTTAAAAAGTATAACCGCTGCCTGCTGTCCCCCCATGCCCCTGCTGGTTGATTGACAGTCAGTCTGACTATTTACCAACTGAGACTGGTACCTCCTGTGGCTGTGACTTTTAGTGGGCAGTTTGACCTGTTACAGGTGCAATAAAGAAGATACTGGCAGGATACACAGGTATTAAAACTATGTTACGGGGGTACTCAAAACAAAAACTGCTGTGTAAATTCTATTGAGAGATTGCAACATATATGTAACTAATAAAAAAAAAAATTCAATAGTTCCGCTTTACTTACCTGAATCCACCATTACATCACTCTCCACTGCACTACTTATGGAATTGAAAACCATTGATCCACAGCTGCAGTTCAGGCATACCACCAAGCAGTTTGTCACAGTTCCTTGTTGTCACATCACCATATCACTACTTCAGTCTTCAGGGCCCTGTAAGGATATCAACTGATGGACCCAATGTGGGTACCTGAAGAAGGGCCGCCATGGGATTATGCATTGAGGTATTTTGAACACAGCTTATTTTTTTAATTACTTGGATGATTAGCTAGAGAGGGGTGGGAGGTATTGTTTATGGGGGGACTCTTTACTGGCTAGATTTGAGCTTTAAAAGGAGCAGGCTCCAAGAGATGCCATATTCATTCTAGTCATTATGTCAGGTATTTAAAAGTGATGTTCCACCTTCTCTAAGATCGGAAAACGCTGTACCAACAAATGATGCAGGCTTTACACAGTAATGACCAAAACCATTTTTATTAATCTAAACACATATCATGCATTTGCATGAAGGAACTTGGTTACCGTAACTTCAGCATTTAAAAATAAAAACCAAAGAGTAGCTTTCTACAGTGGGGCATATGCCATGAACAGGGTAGTAAAGTTTGACTGAGGACACATGAAGCTCTTTGAATCCTCGCTCACTTTGGCTATATTGTCTAGAATTAAACAGGCACGATGTTAGATCACTTCTTTACTTCTCCAAGGTCATCAATGCTGTCATCATCCACCTGTCAAGAGAAAGGGGGTTTAAGTCACCTTACCAAATAGATGTTGTATCTTAAACAAAACAAAAGAGCTTTCTAACATTTACAGATGAAATTGAAAACCTGTCCAAATGCCAGCTAGGCTGTGCCAAACAACCTTATCAGTGGGAGGGATGTCTGAAATAGGGTGAAACACAATCCAAATATTCAACAGCAAGATTCATGGACAGGGTTACCAACAATTCACTGGCAGGTGATAACCTCAAAAAGGATAATTTCATGACCTCAAAATGTGTCATTTCAAGTATAAAAGCTGCAGTAAATACCACATGCTGTCTTTGTGGCTGTTTAGTAAATAGGACCTGGACTATGCCATCTTGGTAGAGGCAGGGCTTTATTTTCTTAAGTCAGAGCTGCCCCCACCCCCCAATGACTGGTTATCTGGTGACTGATGGAGGAATAGTCAAAGAGCAACAGGAAAGGTTTAGGAATCACGAATACACAAAATACAGTGCCCTGCAAAAGTATTCATACCCCTTGAAATTTTCCACATTTTGTCATGTTACAACCAAAAATTTTAATGTATTTTATTGGGATTTTATGTGATAGACCAACACAAAGTGGCACAAAATTGTGAAGCGGAAGGAAAACTGATAAATGGTTTTCAAAATTAAAAAAAAAAAAAAAAAAATATCTGAAAAGTGTGGCATGTATTTGTATTCAGCCCCCTTTACACGGATATCCCTAACTAAAATCTAGTGGAACCAAGTGCCTTCAGAAGTCACTTAATTAGTAAATAGAGTCCACCTGTGTGTAATTTAATCTCAGTATAAATACAGCTGTTCTGTGAAGTCCTCAGAGGCTTGTTAGAGAACACTAGTGAACAAACAGCATCATAAAGGCCAAGGAACATAACAGACAGGTCAGGATAAAGTTGTGGAGAAGTTTAAAGCAGGGTTAGGTTATAAAAAATATCCCAAGTTTTGAACATCTGACGGAGCACTGTTCAATACGTCATCCGAAAATGGAAAGAGTATGGCACAACTGCAAATCTACCAAGACATGGCCGTCAATCTAAACGGACAGGCCGGGCAAGGAGAGCATTAATCAGAGAAGAAGCCAAGAGGCCCATGGTAACTCTGAAGGAGCTGCAGAGATCCACAGCTCGGGTGGGAGAATCTTTCCATAAGACAACAATTAGTTGTGCACTCCACAAATCTGGCCTTTATGAAAGAGTGGAAAGAAAAAAAAAAAACGTTGTTGAAAAAACCATAAGAAGTCCCATTTGCAGTTTGTGCCTAAAAGCAAAACACATGATGGAAAACTAACACTGCACATCACCCTGAACACACCACACCCACCGTGATACATGGTGGTGGCAGCATCATGTTGTGGGGATGCTTTTCTTCAGCAGGGACAGGGAAGCTGGTCAGAGTTGATGGGAAGATGGATGAAGCCAAATACATGACAATCTTAGAAGAAAACCTGTTAAGAGTCTGCAAAAGACTTGAGACTGGGGTGGGGGTTCACCTTCCAGCAGGACAATGACCCAAAAACATCCAGCCAGAGCTACAAAGAAATGGTTTAGATCAAAGCATATTCATGTGTTAACATGGACCAGTCAAAGTCCAGATTTGCTGTTCACAAAACTGCTGTTCACAGACACTCTCCATCCAATCTGACAGAGCTTGAGCTATTTTGCAAAACAAAAAATGGGAAAAAAAATGTCCCTCTCTAGATGTGCAAAGCTGGTAGAGACAGCCCCAAAAAGACTTGCAGCTGTAAGTAATGACTCAGGAGGGCTGAAAACAAATGTACGTCACACTTTTTAGATATTTAGTTGTAAAAAAATTTGAAAACCATTTATCATTTGCCTTCCACTTCACAATTATTTGCCACTTTGTGTTGGTCTATCACATAAAATACATTTACATTTTTGATTGTAACATGACAAAATGTGGAAAATTTCAAAGGAGAATTAATAACTTTGCAAGGCACTGTAGATGACGCAGGGGTTTTGAAATCCTTGCACCTCGGCTTTCTCTCCAGCAAGGAAAAAAAAAAAGGATCAATATAATACAGCAGCGCCTTACATATTCTCACACTGCAGATATACACCTATGAAGGTAAAGTAACCAGCGTGCCAAGGCACAAAGTGCCCTGCTATTTTTCAGGAGCAGGTCAAGACAAAATGTCAGACAACATTTTTCTGTTCCTTATAAGATAACTATTTTTATTTTTTTTTTATCATGAACAGAAAACTTTATGCTGCCTTATTAATGCCTCATGTACATAGGCTTTATTTGTATGTGGGCTACCTTTCTTCCCCATAAAAGCCATTGTGAATGCAAAAGCAACACACAAATATTGATGCAACTAACAGAAATTTTAAAGCAACTAATGCAAGCCAAAACACTTGATTCGAAGTCTGATGCTTGAGTACATGAGCCCCAGAAGCAGACATTTGTTCTCTCAGAACAATCAGTATGAATTACCTCTGGCCACTTTTCTTGTATTACATCAATAATATCATCTGTGAAGTCTCCCTGAATGATGATTTCGTCCTCCCCAGTTACCGAGGCACCACAAGAGAATCTTTGAGCAAAGAATCTTTGTGCTTCCTTGAGATCAATTTCTGTTAAAAAAAAAAAAAAAAAAAGTCAGCAACTCTGTAGCACAGTCAGCAATAGTATGTTAGCAAAACATTGACTCTGGAGAAATTTATACTCACCAAACGTTGCCAGACCGCATACCCTTGTCACATATTTCTTCTTCGCTCTAGGTATTTTGGCTATCGTAACCTTTTGTGGTACAGTTTTCTTCTTCTGTTTAATTTGTCCTCTACCACCTGCACAGTTGTGAAACAGTTGGTTAGTTGAGACACCTCTTTTTTTTTGTTAGGGTGATCAGATCATCCCTTTAATGATGGGTCAATATGATGTACAGGTTACACAAGTCTGGGGGTGTGATGATGTCTGAACCTACAAACCTCACCAGAATAAGCCAGCCCCAGAATATCATATCAATCATAAAGGTTCCTGACTATAGGGATCACATGGTCACCAAATGTAAACATCAAGTTCTATATAGTCTTTCCTAACGAAACCTATACTAAGGGGCTCATTTATGCCAGCGTGGATATATAGCTATCTGCACTGTTACACTCTGCAAGGTTACATCATACCCTGGCATACATTTTGGGACCGGTTTAGAAGATGCAGGTTGTATTAGTCTGCAGTATTCTATAGAGTTTTTTTCTGCTTAAAGTGGTAGTAAAGTCTTGGTATTTAAAGTATAAGTTCACTTAGCCTATATAGCATAGGAACTACGATCAGCAGATCGTGAGTGTAATGCCACGGTCTTCCAGACTGTCCGTGTAGCTGTCTGACCGTACCTCGGATACGGGCAGGCAATTACACAATGACAGAAAGCTCAGTGAACTACCTAGAGAGCTGAACAGTGCTCTGGTAGTTCATTGAGAATTGCAAGCTGACAACTGCAAAGACTGTTGATAATTGTAGTTTTCGCATTCATAGAACACCATGAATGAATGGCGCAGCCAAAGATGAAAGCGCCGGTAGGGGGGGGGGTTGTGACAGCACTGTGCTGGAGGGCTTTGTTTGCAGGTAAGTCGATCATAATGTGCTAGTATGTATGTGGTGCATACTAGTACATTATGATTTGAACATGCAGCAGCAGAACCAGCTTTTTTTATTGTTAGGGACACAATTTTACTACCGCAATAAGATAGCCTGCCTGACCCCTCCACCTAGCTTTTATCCCCCATGCACACTCCATTCATTTTAAGTGCTCCAGTGATTTTGGAATGCTGAAGCCAGCAGAGCAACAAGCACAGTTATGAAGCGCCCTCACTTACTATGCAACATGTCAGAGTGCTTGTGACTGATGGAGCGGCAAAGTGAAGCAGCTTTGGGGGACTGCTTGTGCAGCTGGGAGGAAATCTGTGGGAGCGAGGAATAAATGCAAGTGCTGTATAGTTGCATTTCATGTTCACCCTAGACAAAATTACCCTTGCAAGTGAGTCTGCAAGACGTATATTCTCATTTTATCTAGTGTCCAAAACGAGCACATGTTAAAGCTTGGAGGAGTTCTCTTTCTGTTCTAGGAGGATGCAAAACCCCTGACCTCTGTCTGGACAGTGCTGAATGGTCCTGTGCTAATCACATGCACTCTCCCAAACAAAAAATAAAATCTCTCTCGCAACACTAAACTGAGCATGTGCAGTGTCTTTACATGATGTCTTATCAGGAGATAAGAGGGGTACACTGGAAGAAGGGGAGGATCAGAGAGGTCAGGATCAAACAGCATTTTTAAACAATGCAGAGGATTAACACCTTAGGTTCCACAGTGAGTATAACAAGCATGCTTTACTGCATATACAGACTGATTTTACTGTTGTGCGTTTAGTAACACTTTAAGGGTCCCTTTACACTTATTTATTACATTTCAGCTGTATAAATCACTAAACATGCCTCTAGAAATACAAAGACTTAAAACAGAAAAACAAATAGATTTTTAAAATAAAAAGTTCTCACTGAATGATGTGTGTAATGGCAAATATGCAACCAATGAAAAATTCAGGACATTTTACCTCTTTTTTGTTTTTTCTTCTCCTCCTCCTCACCAACTGGCCCTTGGCCCTCACCAACAGATTCCTGTTTAGGAGAATTCCCTTTAATCAATCAAAAACAAACACAGATAATTAGGGAGCAAAGCAAAATCAGTCATGCAGTCAAGTCATTTTTAGCTTTTTATTTCTATTGTGTCAGTCTTCACAATTAAAAACTAAACCAATATGTGTTATTTCACATAAATGAACAACATTCAACCTGGAAAGAACATTTGGACTTCAAGCTCACAAAAGGATAACATTTCAGTGTATTATAAACTGACAAAGTTTCTAAACCCAAGTTTCAAAAGCCATGCCGTTAAAGCCAGCAAATGAGAAGCAGGGGGGGGCTAGGGCATGTTTGAAAGAGGCCAGCGCTTGTCTGCCAGAAATCCAAGTATGTCTGTGTAGCACGTTCTTCTGGGTCTATCTGGTACAATGGGAATCGGGACTGCACAGCAATCTAGAAAAGGATATTAAGAGGGAAGGCATAAACCAACTTCAAGGGAGTCCAAGGAATAATCAGAGAATCTATTGCAAAGGCTAGAGGATCTCTAGTTTGGCTACAAATTTCTTCAGCTTGCTGTTGAATCTGGACACCAAGATATCCACATATATGGTTTTACCCACCTTTGACAGAGAATTTTAAAGATCTCTGGGTGCAGGCACCATCCACACCCCCAGGTCTAAATATTGAAAGCTTAGGAAGTTCACCTGCTAACTGTCCACTTAAAGGATTTGGATGGTAAAGAAAGTTGGAATGCGATTTTCAGCCCAGGAGAGTATCAGACTTTTTTCTCTTAGGGCGGCTTGACTCTTGGTGCCTCTGATGTTTATGTAGGCCATTGATTTGGCACGGTTTATAATTTAATGGCTCTCAGTTACAGAATGTTTATGGGAAGGTTTGACTCCTGTGGGGACCAGGTACCCTGGACAGTCAGGGAAATGCAACATCTGCCTGGCATCCATTGTTACCACCATCCAGGGCATGTGAGTTAAAGACTTTCCCAACTCCAGGGCAGGATTGGAGATCTACCATGTCAGGAAGAGCTTTGTCTGGCTGGACAGAAACACAGGGTAATCCAAAGTATAGATTTGTTTGTTCCCCATCGTTAGAATGTTGGGGTCTTGAGTGAAGTTGGGCAAAAGGAACTGGCTCAAATGAGGCTACCATCAAGCCAAGAACTACCATACAGAAGAGAACACAGGGCTGCCCTTTTGTCCAGAGGGCTCTTGTGTAAGACACTGGGGAAGCAACGTTCTCCTGAGAAAAAAAAAAAAAAAATACTGGTCTGGGCTGTATCCATGATTAGTCCCATTTACTCAAGACGGTAAGGACTGCAGAGCAGACTTGGGAAAGTTGATTGTACAGCCAAAGGTTTGAAGGAACTGATTCGACCTTTGGACAGTGGCAGCTATAGTAAGCTTGTAGCTGAGGAATCCTTCAGCAAGAGGGTCGGAAAGTGTGAGCAAGCACTTTTTGAGATCGTCCAGGTAACCCTGACTGCTCTGGGTTTGCAAGGGTCGGAAAGTGAGCAAGCACTTTTGTGAATACTTGGGGTCCAAAGGAGAGCCCAAATAGCAATGTTACAGATGAAGGTGTTGGTCCCCCGGCGTCAACAAAACACAAAAAGTGTTGATGCGGGGGAAACATGGGAAACTGTTTAGACATCTCGATTGTATGTCTAAATGATGTAAAAAATTCCCCTTGTCTGAGAAAAGCAATGACAGACTTCATTGATTCCAGCTGTAATTCTGGCACACAAAGAAATTGGTTTTAGAAATGTTAAGTCTAGTATTGTAGGGATGCTATGTGCAACATTGCTCCATATGTTTAAATAAATATATCCCTAAAACCGAAAATTGTGACAGATTTTCATATAATGAAAACCAAAAATGTAAATACATATATTAAATGAAACCCCCCCCCCCCCCCAAAAAAAAAAAAAAAAAAAAAAAAAAAAAATTTTCCAAAAAAAAACAAAAATAAAAAAATTACGATAAAATTATAAGTCACCTGTGTCCAAAATAAATTCACTCCAATCTTTGTTTCCAATAATGCAAATTTTCAGATCCTTTGATATCGAGCCCTCCTATTGGCTCCCAAAGGAAAATATGTACCCCAAAAAAGAAAAACTCATATAGTGCATTAACTTTATAAAAAAGATTAATATCATACCCATATACCATATGCACTGTGCAACGTCAAAAAAAACTTGATATTTAAAGTGACACCCCTTATGACAAAGTCCCGAATGTGACGAAACGCGTCAAGGGAAGCGACGGATGCACAGGAGAGGAACCGGAAAGTGGCGTATTGGCCATTTTGGATATTGGAATTCACATGTCAAGCAATTTTGGAGGCTGCTCGGCGACCCTAGAGGTTTGAGGGCATGGGAATAAGCGTTTAATGTTTTAACCTTATGTAAGCAGTGAATAAAGTATATGTTTATTAATCCCATAACGGAATTACACTATATCCTGTTTATATATCACTCGCATGGAGCCTGGGTACTAGAAGTACTTCCTTAAAAGCCATGATGACATCGAGGAGAAGGTGGTTGATGACATCATAAGGCGTATTATTCAGGCTTGGAAGAAAATCATGGGAGCGTGATATTTTTTTCCGCAGTATTGATAAGGTGTTTTTTGGGTAAGGGTATTTATGCCTTACACTATAGACGTGTACACTGAATGGTCACTTTTATTTTTTTACTCACAGAGTGACGCACAATCACGGTTATTACAATGTGTTCACCTTCTCACTTTAAATATATCACTTTTTTTGAAGTTGCACAGTGCATATGGGTATATGGGTATGATACTGATTTTTTATAAAGTTAATGCACTATATCAGTTTTTTTTTTTTTGAGGTACATATTTTCCTTTGGGAGCCAATTGGAGGGCTCGATATCAAAGGATCTGAAAAATTTATTGGAAACAAAGATTGGAGTGACTTTATTTCGGACACGAGTGACTTATAATTTTATTATCGTAATATATTTTTTTTGTTTTTTTAATTTTTGGGGGAAAAAAATTTTTGGGGTTCATTTAATATATGTATTTAAATTTTTTGGTTTTCATTATATGAAAATTTGTCTCACAATTTTAGGGATATATTTAACATATTGGAGTTATATTGTGTTTTGCACTTTCAAGGGTGAAAGTTAGATCTTATATGTTAGATACCGTAGTTATAGTTATTGTAGTGATGCTGCCATTTGGTTCTTAGTGTGACTAGGTTTGAAAAGAAACCTTGAAATAATATTTTCTTCTGAAGGCATCCATAGAAGTCCTCTTTTTACAAGTAGTAAAAACAAAACCTGCAGATATGCACAGAGGTAAGGGGTATTCTAGAAACTTCATAAATTACATCCTCTAGAATGTTAACAGAAAAACAATAATGCTGAGGGCATCATCTATAATGGTTCTAAGAAGGCAGGGTCCTCAAAGACAGGTTCCTGTTCTCGATTCATGCATCTTGTCCAGAAAGAAATAGTCTGGCAAATAGACATGGCAGCAAAAACTAGCTAGCTGCAGGGCAGAACCTACAAGGGCAAAGAGGGCGTTCAGATGACAACCAACAGCATCTTTAAAAGAGGGAAAATCTCTATTTCTCTATAAGAATGGCAAGGTGTTTACTGAGAACTGAAACAGCATAATACATTACCAGAACAGCAAAAACCTTAGGAGGAATGAAAATCCTTCCAGGGTCAGGCCAGTCCTCAAAGTGCACAAACAATTTGTGCCTGTATTGAAAAAGTCTATCTTGACTTTAACCAGTTTTTTAGTACCCATAAGGGCTTGGGAGGCTCCATTTCTGAACCCTGAACAAAATAAGGTTTACCAAAAGAAAGTGGATAACTCCGAAATCCTCTGCTTTTAAAACCTACACATATTGCCCTCCGTGCTATGTTGAGCATCTAACACAGAATTCAGTGCCCAAAGCTAACATTGCAAGCTGGCCCTACACAGTAGTCTGGGTACGTTCCCCAGAATACACACGGTTGTTAACCAATCAGAAAACTGCTAGACAGCCCAGAGTAATAAGCAGTCAAATCTTGAAAGAAGCTTCAAAAAACAAAACCAAACAAAAAAACCTGAAAAAATACTGCTCCAGAGAACAGGTCCATCTTCTAAGAACACTAGCAAAAAAAATAGAGCCTCACGGCATGGCAAGGCCATATGGATGAGCTCTAGGGGCAGCCCTAGCAAACGTTTTGATACTGTCCATTCACTTTATTAGGTACACTAGTTCAATTGCTTGGTAACACAAATTGATAATCAGCCAATCACATGGCAGCAAATCAATGCATATAGGCCTCTAGACGTGGTGAAGATGACTTGCTGAAATTCAATCTGAGCATCAGAATGGGGAAGAAAGGGGATTTAAGGGACTTTGAACGTGGTGGCATGGTTATTGGTGCCAGATTGGCTGGTCTGAATATTTAAAAAACTGCTGATCCACTGGGATTTTCACGCACAACCATCTGTAGGGTTTACAAAGAATGGACTGAAAAATAAATATCCAGTGAGCAGCAGCTGTGTGGACGAAAATTCCCTGTTGATGTCAAAGGTCAGAGGAGAATGGGCAGACTGGTTCGAGATGATACAAAGGCATGCTATCATGTTAATATGAACCAAAAACTCTAAAGAAAGGTTTCCAAAACCTTGTTGAATCTCAGCCGTGAAGAATTGAAGCAGTTCTGAAGGCAAAAGGGTGTCCAACCCGGGTACTAGCAAGATGTACCTAAAAGTGGCCAGTGAGTGTAGAAAACAGTTTTCTATGAGGCCGTTTCACAGTTTGATGTGCAGAGAACTGCTGACATGTTGCATTTTTCCATAACACATTGGATAGCACTACAGGTCACAGTGCTGAAGTGTGAAGACTTGAATGGATGAATACATTGAATTTGCATGAGCCAGGGACAAAGACACCAGCTTACATGCTAAAAAGGAGCATTATATCATGCAGCTAGTGTGAATGGCCCCACTAGCAAGAACCTGGGATTCTGATGAAGTCCATGCAAGTCAGACATGTCAAAGGGAATGAGCAAGATGAAGCAGAAGTACACGAAAGGGCAAGGACATGTTTTAGATATGGAGAAATTAATAGGGACAGAAATCTTCCGTTTTCCCAAGGCTGACATCCATCCCACTACTGAAAAACAGTGTTAAGAAATCTAGCAGAAACTTGACTAACAGATTTATGCTGCTGCTGCTGTACCAACTAGCAGAGTTAGAATAAAGCATATACTTGGTGTGCTCACCTAATGTAAGTTTTGCAAACTCGTTTGGGAAATTCTTCTCAAGCCACTGTCTACACTTTGCTACATCTGGCATGTATTCACAGTACTACAAAACAAGAGAGACAAATCAGTGTATCAGACATTAAAGCACACAACTTAACACAGTGAACAAACTCACTTTTTTCTCAAACTCTGTGTGAAGAAGAATGTGTTTAGTAAAAGAAAAGCAGATTTCCATGGCAGGTCATAGAGTACACTAACTTTTCAACATTTGACATTGCAAAGGGGTCAATTCACTAAAGGTTACTGTATGCGATATGGAGGTGACGTGACTCATTTTTCCGAAATATCGCATTAGATAATATAAGAGTCAATTCATCAAACTAAAATATCGAATGTGGGGTAAATACCGCACATTCGTTAAAATAGTGAGCAGGGGGGCGGACTGACAACTCATGGGGCCCCTGGGCAATAGGGGATCATGGGGCCCCTGTGTCTTTGCCCAAACTCAAAAAAGCCTATGAAAAAGGTACCGGGGCCACCTACTGACCCCGGGCCCCAGTTTCCAAATGGTCAGTCCGCCACTGATAGTGAGATAAATACCACAAACAAACATGAGAAAAATCATTAAAGTCAATTCATTAACTGCTTCCTGACCACCTTATAGCAGATATACTGCTACAGGGTGGCATGGGTGCACAACATCATGTATATATACGCAGTGGTGTATTTAGGATCTGTGCTGCCCTAGGCAACACGAAAATGCCACAGCAAGACAGAAAAAGACTCACCTTCACAGCTCCGCACATCCCCAGGAACAAGAGTTGGACTGTGCATATACCGTCATGAAACCCGCAGCCTCTTCTCGGAACCCACCAGGTCCCCATGCCGTGTGTGTCCCTTATTCCATCCCTTCTTCTGAGGCGCAGTGCTGCCCCCCCCCTGAAAAATGCCACCCTAGGCAAATGCCTTGTGGTAAATACACCCCTGTATATACGTTATTTTGCATTTCCGGGTGGGGGGTGCAGAAATATTGTTTTTTTTCTCAAAATTGTCAGTCTTTTTTTTTTATATAGCACAAACTAAAAAATGCACAGACGATTGAAATACCACCGAAAAAAAAAAGCTCAATTCGTGGAAAAAAAAAAAAAGACGTAAATTTCATTTGGGTACAGCATTGCATGACCGCTCAATTGTCAGTAATGCAGCGCCGTAGCGCAAAAAATGACCTGGTCAGGAAGGGGGGTAAATCCTCTGGAGAGCAAGTGGTTAAAAAAAAAAAACAACATTTGCTATTTATCGCCTGGCGATATATATATATATATATATATATATATATATATATATATATATATATACACACCTGCTGGCGGTATTTTAGAAATGTACAAAATAACAATTAAAAAGGAACTCTGCGCTGGCCAGAAAGTGAAAAGTATAAAATGTATCAGTGTAAAAATGTTCTCCTCTGAGCTCAGGTATGAAAATAAATTGTAACATTTCACCAGAGGAAGATCATTTTGTAAATGAAAGCACACTACGTTTTCAGTTTCACAAGATTGCTGTGTGCATTCTGGTGCAGTGTTAAGCTGGCCATACACGTATAGATTTCTGTTTGAGAATTTTAGTTTCAAAAATTTTTATTTGATTTTCTAATCGTTAGTGGGATCAAATCGATGTTTGTTTTCGACTGCAGTAACGGGAACATTCGAAGGGGCAGGAAGGAAAACTTTTCTCGATCAATCAAATTTTCGGCCAGTAAATGTGGTTATCGTTCAGAAATTACATTCCTTTTAAACTCGAATGTTAAAAGCAAAAGACAATTTTCAAACGACATTCGTTCATTCACTGAATGTTCAAAGAATTTTCGTATGACTTTTCGTATGAATATTCTCGTCTGAAAATCTACATGTGTATGGCCAGCTTTAGCCTGCAAAAAAAAAAAAAAAAAAAAAAAAATAGTGAAAAATACCAAAAATAAAAAAAACGCAAAGTGCTAAATATTGCAAAACATAAATATTTAACATATTCGATAAATAACGCATGTTTTTTAGTAAACTGACTGCTTTTGAAACAAATACCGCATGAGTTATTTTAACTCAAAAATTTATGCAGTATTTATCACTTAGTAAATTGACCCCAAAGTATTAGATGAACATTTTCACAAAGGAATACATTAACAGAACGTCTTCATTTCAAAATTCAAGAGATAAAAGACAAATCCCCAGCAGTAATAAAACGGAAGAGAAATGTTATAGTATTAAAGAGGTTCTGGAAAAAGATCATTAACATCTGATGGAGGAAGGAGTTGTTCATGGATTTACACCTCTTAAGCACCCCTAAATCCATCAATGAAGCCCAACAAAGGTAAACTACAGGATAACGTTTATAGTCCAAAGCAGGGCTGGTTTCGGTTAAAGTTAGAGGAAAAAATTGCTAGCAGCCAGGCTTTTACTGCAGGAGACTACTGTACGTATATCTCCTTTGCAAAAAAAATTCTGAACCTATTGCTTTGATTAATGACCTACATGGTCATTAAATAAAGTAAAATTTATCCCTAAAAAAAAAAAAAATATTCTTCTACTGGATACCAAACCTTGAGGCAAATGCCTAACCTGTAGAAACTCTCATACTGCATATTAACAGGCAGTACACCTTTTCTCCCCAAAAAGGAGTATAAATTGTACTTGCAGGTACATGAATTTGGGACATGCTCAAAATGTGGAGGTGTACTGTGGCCAAAGTGTCCTATGCACCTGCGCTTCCTGGGGGTGGAGTTTTATATCTGGGGTGGTACAGCCTGATGACGTTTCACAGCCACCAGTTCCCCATGTGATTGACAGCTGGCAGTGGATAGAGCAGGGGTGGGCAAACTTTTTGACTTGAGGGCCGCAATGGGTTCATATATTGGACCCGGGGGCCAGACCAAGAGTAGATGAATGATGTGTATGTGTCATCCATAGTAAGTATAGTAATATTCCCCCATAGTAAGCATAGTAATTAATCCCCCATATAGTAATTCATCCCCCACATAGTAATCCATCCCCCACATAGTAAACCATCCCCCCACATAGCAATTCATCCCCCCACATAGCAATTCATCCCCCCACATAGCAATTCATCCCCCCACATAGCAATTCATCCCCCCACATAGCAATTCATCCCCCCACATAGCAATTCATCCCCCACATAGCAATTCATCCCCCACATAGTAATTCATCCCCCCACATAGTAATTCATCCCCCACATAGCAATTCATCCCCCACATAGTAATTCATCCCCCACATAGTAATTCATCCCCCACATAGTAGTAATTCATCCCCCACATAGTAATTCATCCCCCCTATAGTAATTCATTCCCCATATTAATTCCCCCCATATTAAGTCCCCAAGTCCCCCCTGTGTCAATTCACTTACCTTTACTCCGCGCGTTCCTCTCGCCGTATTCCCGCGCCGTTCCGGTGTAGCATGAAAATCTGTCTCCTATGAGGATCTGTCCCCCTCGACGTATCTGCGCATGTGCCAGTTTCAGGCATTAGCAGCCGATCGGCGATCTCCGGCACATGCGCAGATACGTCGAGGGGGACAGATCCTCATTGGAGACAGATTTTCATGCTACAGCGGTCTTCAGGGCGGACTGTGAGAGGAGCCTAGCGGGAGCCTAGCTCCGCGGGCCAGATTAAAAGGTCCGCCGGGCCGTATACGGCCCGCGAGCCGTAGTTTGCCCATTGCTGGGATAGAGCGTTCTAGGGTATACCTAATATATGCAGAGTAATAGAGAATAATATATGTGATTGATTTTATTATAATTTTTTTTCACATTTCAATTTATTTTACACTTAACTTTATTATTGATACAAGAGGGTTGATCTGCCCTATGTGAAATATATAGAAATAATAACTAATTCTCATTACAAAGACACAAGTCCAGCAGTACCCTTTTACTTAAAGCAGTGGTTCTCAACCTTTCTAGCGCCGCGACCCCTTAATACAGTTCCTCATGTTGTGGTGACCCCCAACCATAAAATTATTTTCGTTGCTACTTCATAACTGTAATTTTGCAGTAGGAGGAATCGTGCCCCATCCTTGGTGTCAGTGGGGGGAGGAATCGTGCCCCATCCTTGGTGTCAGTGGGGGGAGGAATCGTGCCCCATCCTTGGTGTCAGTGGGGGGAGGAATCGTGCCCCATCCTTGGTGTCAGTGGGGGGAGGAATCGTGCCCCATCCTTGGTGTCAGTGGGGGGAGGAATCGTGCCCCATCCTTGGTGTCAGTGGGGGGAGGAATCGTGCCCCATCCTTGGTGTCAGTGGGGGAGGAATCGTGCCCCATCCTTGGTGTCAGTGGGGGGAGGAATCGTGCCCCATCCTTGGTGTCAGTGGGGGGAGGAATCGTGCCCCATTTGGTGTCAGTGGGGGGAGGAATCGTGCCCCATCCTTGGGTGTCAGTGGGGGGAGGAATCGTGCCCCATCCTTGGTGTCAGTGGGGGGAGGAATCGTGCCCCATCCTTGGTGTCAGTGGGGGGAGGAATCGTGCCCCATCCTTGGTGTCAGTGGGGGGAGGAATCGTGCCCCATCCTTGGTGTCAGTGGGGGGAGGAATCGTGCCCCATCCTTGGTGTCAGTGGGGGGAGGAATCGTGCCCCATCCTTGGTGTCAGTGGGGGGAGGAATCGTGCCCCATCCTTGGTGTCAGTGGGGGGAGGAATCGTGCCCATCCTTGGTGTCAGTGGGGGGAGGAATCGTGCCCCATCCTTGGTGTCAGTGGGGGGAGGAATCGTGCCCCATCCTTGGTGTCAGTGGGGGGGAGAATCGTGCCCATCCTTGGTGTCAGTGGGGGGGAGGAATCGTGCCCCATCCTTGGTGTCAGTGGGGGGAGGAATCGTGCCCCATCCTTGGTGTCAGTGGGGGAGGAAATCGTGCCCCATCCTTGGTGTCAGTGGGAGGAATAGTGTCCCATCGTTGGTGTCAGTGGGAGGAATAGTGCCCCATCATTGGTATTAGTGACACCAATGATGGGGCACTATTCCCACTGACACCAATGATACTTACCTTGCAGACCCCTGCTCCAGCCTGGGCTCGCTCGCTCCCTCCCTCTCCCATGGTACCGACACACTTACCTGTCAGATGTCTTCCTTCTCCGGCCGCTCTCCTCCTCTTCACTCGCTCGATCTTCGCGGTGCCGCTCGGCTCCTCCTCTCCAAGCTCCACCTCCTTGCCGGTGATTGGCCGCCTGTGTGCCTCTCCTGAGCTACAGTGCCGGCGGCCAATCACAGGCGAGGATTGATCTCGAGGGGTGTCCAGATGACAGGGGCGGCATGTCATCCCGCCCACACCTAGAGACGGCGGTGGCGGCGAGGAGCGGTGTCTCGGTTCCTAAGACCATCGGAAATATGTGTTTTCCGATGGTCTTATGCGACCCCTGTGGAAGCGTCGTTCGACCCCCAAAGGGGTCGCGACCCCCAGGTTGAGAACCGCTGACTTAAAGGGTAACGGCACTTTTGTGGAAAAAAAAAAAAAAATTTAGCAAATAAATTTATATAGAACAATTGCTACAAAATCCATGTTGTTATTTAATTTTAAAACGTACCTTTCCTTTTCAATCTGCAGCCGCTGTAATTTTCTATAAAATTTACTACAATATGGCAAATTGGAGATTTTCTGTACACTGTTGGTATACAGAATAACCCCCAGAAACGTCATTTCCTGCTTATGCGATTGGCTCACTAATTTTCCCAGAAGTCTGCAATAAAATTTAAGGCACCTCCTACAACTGGAATTTTAGTTTTGGCGAGATTCTCCCCAATGGCTAAACACTTCTAAGGCTGACCATACATTATATAAATTTCCCTTTTGATTTACCAAAACCATATAATATGAGGTCAAACCAAAACACTTTCAATGTGTATGCAATCAGGCAAACCCTTGCACTACATAGTTGAAGGTAAATCTTAAAGAAATTGAATAGGAAAATTGTATAAGTGTATGACTAAAGGAATGCATGCCCTGCAGCTTTTCCATTAGAACACAAATTGAACCAGGTGATTATAAATGAACCAGTCTCTCCCATTCAAAATCAGCCTGCATAGGACATGATGCACCAACTACCATCTCCTTAAACAAAAGCTAGAAATCTGATACACAGTTTAAAATCCCCGCAATATAGAATGATTACCCAGATGGGATTATTTTTCTCTTAACAAAACTAATTGCTCCTTAACCACCTCCCGTCCGGCCGTTGTATATAAACGGCCAGACGGTGGCAGTGCAGGGTCGGGTGGCCGTTTATAAACTGCCTCCCTGCACCCTGCTTGTGCGCGCAGCACCGCGATCCGGTGCCCGCTGTGTCCTCCGGACACAGTGAAACACCGATCGTCGGACGGGACCTCTGTACGAGGTCCCGATCATGTGATCACTGATTGGCCAATCAGTGATCACATGCATAGTAAGCAAGATGTCACTTGTGACATCATTGCTTACTACGTGTGAAATCTGTGAATGATCACAGAGGTCACATGGTACAAGCCTATTCACAACAGGCTTTTACCATGTGACAAGCTGTGACCAATCACAGCTCAGTCAGTACTTCTCAATGAGTGCATGCACACAGAGAGAAAGAGAAATGATTGCTTTTACACCCTATATGGATGTAAAAGCAATCAGTGTAAAAAAAAAAAAAAAAAAATCATCACCCCCCACAAGTAGTACAGTGTCACCATGGTGACACTGTACTGCTAGGGTGACAGTATGTAAAAAAAAAAAAATAAAAAAAAAAATATAAAAAAAAATAAAATAAAAATGTAAAAAAAAAAATGTTTAAAAATTATATTTTGTCATCAAACTAATTTGGATTTTTTTTTTTTACTAAAAAGATAACGGAATAAATTTTGGCAAAGATTTATGATGAAATATTTATTTGCAAAATTTTATAAAAAAAAAAACACTTTTTTTCAAATTTTTTGGACTTTCATTTACAGAGCAAAAAAAAATAAAAATCCCAGTGGTGAATAAATACCACCAAAATAAAGCCTTATCTGTTTAAAAAAAATGGTAAAAAATTAATTTGGGTACAGCGTTGCATGACCGCGTAATTGTCATTCAAAGCGTGATAGCACTGAAAGCTGAAAATTGCCTGGTCAGGAAGGGGGTAAAAGTGTCCGGACTGGAAGTGGTTAAAAAGAGAAACGCTCCTACATATTTAGTCATAGCACAACAGAGTTGGCTGTTACTTGATAGACAAAGCTCCTATCTTGCACTGGAGGCTGCCACTGCCTGACTACAGCATGTTGCATAAGTTCCAGGCCTGATTTCTTTATGATACTTTACATGTGGACTCTTTTCTGGAAACAGCACCCTGACATGAAACCTTACCAGCTATTCCCTACTGCTCCTTCCTCTTCTTCAGCCATCCACAACAATTGCCATTCCTGGGTATACAGCAGCATGTGACATCATCTCCTGCAATTGTATTCAGGTCTAGCAGCCAGTCACTAGACTCAACACTGGCACATAATGTCACCACTTCCCTGGGTCGCAGACACCAGTCATTTAAGTGCATGCTGTAACAGAGGAAGGAGCAGCAAGGGATTACTGCTAATCTTAGTATGGGGGGGGGGGGATGGGAAAGGTGACTGTGTCTCTTTAAATCCTGCCACACATTCTGTACTGTTATCACTTTACTATGAACCCCACTAAGGTATCATTTTGCTTACCTCTGTTGGCAATGAACACACTGTAAAGGAAAAAAAAAATAATGTAAGTAAAACAGTTCTTTTAGAAGACCAAAGAAAATGAATGAAATATAGAGGTCTGAAAATAAAAGGTGAACAACAAGAGGTTATGAGTAGGTGGTTAAACGCTAGTCCTAAGCACAAAACGCGTTACCTTTTCTCTGTTCCCAACACTGTGATGATATTTTATGTAAGCATTAAATAAAGTGGAAGAAGTGCAGCAGATTCCGGATCATCTTCTTTCCTGTGCTACTACAAACAAGCTGTGTGTGCACCTTCACCTATCGTGGTCAGTGGGAGATTGATACACATCACCTGGAGCAGCTTTGGTTGATGTGAACTACAACGAACATCTTTTTTTCTTTTCTGTAGTGAAATTATCACTTTTAATAGTGATCACTGCTTATCTTCCAATATCTCTCTCTAAAAGCTGAGAAATTAACAGCAAACAGAGCCATGTTAAGAATTAATAGTGGCTATTTCAAAAGGGGCTGGCTGCTACTTCTTGGTTCAGGCAGTCAGCTCCTGATGATGCACACGAGATCCACCCTCTGACCACTTTGTGTTCCTGGTCCTGACTAGGTGAGAATATCCGTAGGTCCAGACCAAAACAAAAAAAAAAAAAAAAAAAAAAAAAAATGGATCACAGATTTAAACAACAACAAAAAAAAACAAACAACACCTCTATTTCCGCATGTGGAGGGTTGGAAGCAAACAAACTCCCTTTTGGGAGTGAAGGTCCACATTGGGCTGTATAAAATTTTTAAAATGCTGTAATTTGGATACATTTCACATAATGTTGCTTTGGGCAAAAGCTATATGGGTGACTGTAGGAACCACTCACTAATGGACTGTAATAACCTGCATATCCACCCTTGCATTGCTATACTAGTACAACATACATAAACATATATACACACATACATACACACACACACACATTTTATTTTTTTATTGTCTAAAGCAGAGAATCAGACTGTAAAACCATGCCATCTCCCGTCAAAGCTCATTGCTGGAGAGGCCCACTTACAATTCTACAGTGCAGTAACATGTTATGCTGCACATTACCCTGTGTTGTGTTAAGGCAGCCCTTTGAAAAAACAGGGCTGCAAATCCACCATGATGGATGTGACCCTTTTCTTGTAATACAATGAAATGCATATAGGTGCATTAAAATAGTGGGGTTGATATACTAAAACTGGGAGTGTGCAAAATCTGCTGCAGCTGTACATGGTAGCTAATCAGGTTCGACAAAGAAACTTGAAAGCTGGTTGGTTTCTATGCAGAGCTACACCATATTTTGCACTCCCCAGTTTCAAGGTGCTATTCAAAATGAATGACACCCCAGTGCATGCAATGTGTGTTGCAACAACGTGTTAGCGTAACTAAGCACTTAAAGAAAAAAACATCATGCAACCAAGATACTATCAGAATTACAAAAAAAGTAATCTAAAAAAAGGACCCAGTCACTGATTTAAAAGTTCAAATAAAGATGGTCATACATGGCTCAGTTTTTCTCTCTCAGCCAATCAAGAAGAATCCTCCATACGATGTCATTTTATTTTGATAGCGGAGTCAGCTGGACTCCTTCACTGTCAGAATACACTGCTCAGTCTATAGGCTAGAGCGCTGACTGAACTAAAATTTTCCCGCAAGCCCATTCCTGGGCAGCAGATCAACTGCTCTCGAACAAGACCAGCCATAGATGGATTGAAATTTGGTTGGTCCCTGCTGAACCAGATGAATTTTGATCTATGGGCAGCTTAAAGCTGCACCCAGGAGGACAGCTGCAAGAAACAAAAAAAAGCAACACTCCCGAAGTGTCAGTTTCCTGGTAGGCTTCAATAGAAGATTCCCATCAATGGAGCAGTGTTCAGTGTAGCATGCATCAGGAGAGAAGTATTTACATTCTTTTTCATATGAATCAGCCTTATGGCAACTGGGTTGCTTAAATAGGAACACTAATCTTTTAATGTCTATCCTCTGACCCAGCATTGATACCTGGTTCACAAACTACACTAAAACTGTACGCTTTCAACTTGTATGCTCTACTGGCCAAATGTTGTGGTTATGCATAGGAGAAAAAAAAAAAAAAAAAAGTCACTAATCAATATCGTTATTCTCCAAAAATAATACACACCCACTACTTAATAATAAAAACATAAAAAGTGCAGCGCTAATGTATCATCAATTGAATGAAATAATAATAATGATACTGTGAATAATGAGTAAAAATCAATAGTTCATCCAAATAGCATACGATAGTAAAGTTCAAATTAATGAATATAAATAATAGCAGCACAAATGGATAATCTTCACAGCAGCAGATTGTAGAAAACCAAGGCTTGTGACAGGATCAAATGGTAAAAATGCGCACTCACCACAAGCACATTGGAAATTCGCATATTATTATTATTATACAGTATTTACAAGCGCCAATAGTTCGCTCAGCGCTGTACATTACAAAGGGAGACAGAACATGTGACAGAACAATACCAATACAATGCAAAACATGAGGGGATCAAGGGCCCTGCTCTTTCGAGCTTACAATCTAGGAGGGAGGGGGTGGTGGCACAGGAGGAGATAGCTGTGGGGGATGGAGTGGTAGGAAGAGTGGAGGAGGGAGGCAAGTTAGCAGGGGGTGGGTAGGCTTCCCTGAAGAGATGGGTTTTCAGGGTGCGCCTAAAGGAGAGGAGAGTAGGTGATAATCTGATGGGTTGGGGCAGGGAGTTCCAGAGGATGGGTGACACCCTGGAGAAGTCCTGGAGGCGGGCATGGGAGGAGGAGACAGGGAACTAGAGAGAAGGAGGTCCTGTGAGGAGCGGAGTGTGCGTGCTGGGCGGTACTTGGATATTAGGTCAATGTATTTCGGGCAGTATGGTGGACAGCTTTGTACGTCAGCGTTAGGATTTTGAATTTGATCCGTTGCGCAATCGGAAGCCAAGAGGGGGGTGGCGGAGACAGAGCGGTTGGAAAGGTGAATGAGTCTGGCAGCCGTGTTCAGGATGGACTGAAGAGGGGATAGCCAGCGGCGAGGCAGGCCAGTGAGGAGGGAGTTGCAGTAGTCGAGTCGTGATATGATGAGGGAGTGGATGAGCTGTTTAGTGGTTTTGCTGGGGTTAGGAACGTGCGGATTTTGGCGATGTTGCGGAGGTGGAGTCTGCACGAGTTTGTTAAAGATTGGACTTGGGGCTGGAAGGATAGGTTGGAGTCCAGAATGACACCCAGTACTCTGGCCTGCAGGGCGGGTTTGATATAAATATATAACCACCAAAGGTCTCAGGGATGGGCGGATGGTGAGCTCCTTCTATTATGGTCATCAAGCATAGGGTAGTAGGATAATCTGCTGGGTCCAGAGGTCCCCTTAAAGATGGACAGGTGCTCAGCCTGGGTACAGGGCTCCTCCTTTGGATACTGGATGTAGTGAGGGTGATCTGCAAGCTTAATAGTTCCAAATAGGAGCCAGAAAACACATGCCCATAGTGTAGTATGTCCACTTAAAACATGTTTATTGCATAAAAGTAAAATGTGCAAAAATCAGGATAGTGTGGAAAAATCTAAAGAAATTGCAGAGCATGCAGCACTAACCCCTTTAAAAGATGGCCGCCGAGCCTCCTCGTGGCTCTGGCGGCAATGACGTCACACTCTGTTAGCTCTGCCTTAGGCCTTCATGCTGAGCACATCATCAGAGTTTAGCCTCCCCTCTGATGTGCTCTGCACGAAAGGCCTAAGGAGGAGCTAAGAGAGCGTGACGTCATCGCCGCCAGAGCGATGATCTGCAAACAATATTAATTTTTGCTTGCAGATCACCCATGTGTTTTTTGGCACTACTTGCAGATCACCCTCACTACATCCAGTATCCAAAGGAGGGAGCCCTGTACCCAGGCTGAGCACCTGTCCATCCTTAAGGGGACCTCCTGGACCCAGCAGATTATCCTACTACCCTATGCTTGATGACCCTAATAGAAGGAAGCTCACCATCCGCCCATATATTTATATGGGCATTTCCAATGTGCTTGCAGTGAGCGCGCGCATTTTTACCATTTGATTCTGTCACAAGCCTTGGTTTTCTACAATCTGCTGCTGTGAAGATTATCCATTTGTGCTGCTATTATTTATATTCATTCATTTGAACTTTTCTATCTTATGATATTTGGATGAACTATTGATTTTTACTCATTATTTATGCACAGTATCATTATTTCATTCAATTGATGATACATTAGCGCTGCACTTTTTATGTTTTTATTATTTTTTGGAGGTTTACTTTGGTTGCCTTGAGTGTTTTAGCTGCTGTTTACATTTTAAGAGCACTCACTTCAGTACTTTTACCCACTACTTAATGGCCTTGTAATCTATCATGATGTAGTTTTCACTGCGTTTTTCTGCCTCTTAACATCCCCCATGATCTACCGAACACCACATCACATTATCTATAGTCTATTTTGTCAGTGAGCAGGAGAGCAACATTGGTACATACAGTGGGATCATGGAGAACAAATTTTTTTTTTTTTAAACCAAAATTTAGTGTCACCTTAATGATTTTCTCTTTCCCAGCAGGCTGGGCAGAATGTCTGTTTTTAGCCATGACCTCAGGCAGAAGTTGCATCTGCCACCTTATAAACCTGACAATGGGCTACAATTTTGATAAAATACTAAAAATATGCCTAAATAACAGAACACACACTTTTTCCTTGTAAGGCTGTAAAATAACTCAGCAGTTCAGATTCCTAAAAAAGCCAATTCCTTACTGGCCTTGTTAAGGGCAGCCAGAACAGGTTTCCCTGCCTGATACTGTGGATTGTATATCTTTCTCCACTATGATGAACAAAGATAACCTTATTATTTATTTCAGGTACTTTTATATAGTACCGTCAATTTACGCAGCACTTTACATATATATTGTACAGTCACATCGGTCCCTAACCCTCACAGGGTGTACAATCTAAGGTTGAGATCCCAATTACAGATATAAACCAACAATAAACATTTAGCACATATGCACTATGGTAAAACAAGACATGTTAACAAAAGGTAGATGTGCTTTGTCCTGTGGTGCTATTCAGAATCAATGGCACCCCAACACATACACAAAAAAAATGCAACACAATGCGCAGATGTGACCTATGTTGTTGGTGCGCTGAGGAGTACTGCCAGCCTATTTTAAATGAATGGGAAGCCTGTGCCCAGGCTATGGACATTAAAAAGGAACCCTGTCACCAGACCTGTACTTTCAACACAATCTTCCTGTTAGATTATACAGTGTATGCCTTTAAAGCAAAATTGAAGGGAAAAACAGGAAAAATACTAGCAGGCTATTTAAGAGATATTGCATGTCTCTTGTGCAATAAAATACAGTTAGCGGCCTGCTCACAGTCTTGCGCAGCTCAGTTTACGTCGCTGGCATGATCTCCGAGTGGTTGACTGACTAGTGCACATGTACAAGAGTTACTTCATCCCGTGCCAGGCAATGAAAATGGCCAAAGAGAGTTGGAGAGGAGGTAAGAATAGTGACTTTAGTTAAGCTATAACTACTATACAAGCGCAATAGTATCAATATTTAAATGTAGACAAGCACCATCCAGGCGACCCCCATGGGTGGGTGGGGGGAGAGGGATCTCTCCTCCGGGCGACCCCCATTGGTGTGTGGGGGAGAGGGATTTCGCCTCCGGGCGACCCCCATTGGTGTGTGGGGGAGGGATCTCTTTTCCGGGCGACCCCCATTGGTGTGTGGGGGAGGGATCTGTCCTGTGGGTGACCTCTATTGGTGTGTGGGGAAGGGATCACTCCAAAGACATGCTGGTAGGTTAATTGGATCCTGTCTAAATTGGCCCTAGTATGTGTATGTATGAAATAAAGTTAGGGACCTTAGATTGTACACCCCTTGAGGAGGGACTGATGTGAATGTACAATATATATGTGAAGCGATGCGTACATTGACGGCGCTATATAAGTACCTGAAATAAATAATTTGCTAAATTTTATAACAGAAAATAAGAACAACATGTTTTTTTTTTCAAAATATACAGTATTTTTTCATTTATATAGCAAAAAATATATGACCCAGTAGTGATTAAATATCCCCAAAAGAAAAAGAGTATAAAATAAATAATTTTTTTTTTTTGGGTAGTGTTGCATGACCTAATAATTGTCAAAGTATGACAGTGCTGAAAACTGAAAATTGCCTGGGTAGGAAAGGGGTGAAAGTGTCCAGTATTGAAGCGGCTAAAGATCAAAACAAAGATTCTAAGCTTAGACACAGCAGCGGAAGCCAGTCACAGCCGGTAAAGAGGGGGCAGGTTTTAGCTCCGCTTAATGGACACACAGAGCCGAACTTGGGAGCAAGCACACACAAGTGCCCCCATAGCAAGCAGTCTGCTATGAGGGCACTCAAGGAGCAGGAGCGCCGGTTTGGGACCCGAGAAGAAGAGGATCAGGGCTGCTCCATGCAAAACCACTGCACAGAGCAGGTAAGTATGACAATTGTTTAAAAAAATTATTATATACACACACATACATATATATACACACACACACACACACTATAATATATATATATATATATATATATATACACACACACATATATATATATATATATATATATATATATATATATATATATATATATATATATATATATATATATATACACACACATATACATATACACATACACACACACCTTTAACCACTTGTCCTTCAAGGCATTTACCCCCCTTCCTGATCAGACCTTTGTGTTGCTGCGCTGCGTTATTTTAACTGACAATTGCGCAGTCATGCAACGCTGCACCCAAATGAAATTTACATCTTTTTTTTCTCACAAATAGAGCTTTCTTTCAATGGTATTTGATTGCCTGTGCGGTTTTTATTTTTTGCGCTACAAACAAAAAAAGACTGATAATTGACCGATGAGGAGAAAACATTAATATGTCCAGTTAAAAAAAAAAAAAAAAATCAAAAAAAAAAAAATTTCCTCATAAATTTAGGGAAAAATGTATTCTGCTACATGTCTTTGCTAAAAAAAAAAAATCCCAATACATGTAAATTAATTGGTTTACGTGAAAGTTATAGCGTTTACAAATGGTGGTATATATGCTGGAATTTTTTTTTTTTTTTTACTATTAATGGCGGCGATCAGTGATTTATAGCAGGACTGTGGCAGACATTCTGACATCCCCAGGGACACCAATACAGTGATTAGTGCTAATAAAAAGCACTGTACTAATGGCACTGGGCAGGAAGGGGTTAACATCTGGGGTAATCAAAGGGCTGTGTGTGTTTTACTATGGGGCTGTGTGTGTTTTACTATGGCTCTGCTATGCAGAGCCATACAAAGCGGTGTGCTGGAGATAACTGTATTGTTTACATACAGTTTTCTCCCCCCATCTATATTACTTGGCAATCACCAGGTACTGGTGAGTAATCACCAGCCAGGACCCGGTGATTGACAGCCAAGACCGCGAACGGTGTGGGTAGGAAGTGCACGCCCACTACCCAGAAATGAAAAACCATGTATATATACCCTGTAGCAGTATTTCTGCTATAGGGTGGCGGTAAAGCGGTTATTACTTACTTAAAAAAAAAAAAAGAAAAGGGGAACAATGCACCTCAAGGCTGTTCCAAACAGCTTAGAAACACCTGATATTTGTTTACATTAGAGGGCTGGCAGTCTGCTTCAGTGCCTCACTTGTGAATTTAGAAGATGAATCTCTCCACAATGCCTAAGGATACAGAGGCAAATAAGTGCAAACTGAACTGTTTGTTCAGAATATGTAAATACTTTAATTGTGCATATTCTGGGCACAGGTTCATGTTAATGTTGCACTCCTCAACACACAAAAACATATGTCAACACAACAATTAATTTAAATGGGTCCTCAAGGACCTATTTGCTGGACTCCATATCATAACTAGCTTTGGGCACACAAGAACCCATTCCAAGAGAAAAGATAGCGCAGTCAGCCAAGTTCATACCTCCACAATAAAGAACTTTTAGTGGATAGTCACCATCCACCTTGGGAATTCTAGAGTCTCCCTTGAAATCCGATTGTGGCTCTGGATTCTCAGCTGCTGTATTAGCCATCTCAGAGATCCTGAAAAACAAGTCATTGAATTTCACTTTTTGTATAAGTACATTATATGTCTGTTACTAAAACCATGCATTTTTATTAGGCTGGGTGTACAAATGAGATTTTTTGTGAGATCATGCTACTAAAACTGCAGACAACACATATAATTGCATGTAGTAGTAACTGATCCCACCCTATTGTGCAATAATTAGGATTTATCCCTTCTACATACTACCCTCCATTGTTACCTACAAGTAGCAATTAATCACTAATCCCTACTGGTCTTAGTAGCCCAACTGCCTTAACAAAAATCAGTCATGTATGCCCCCCAAAAAATTAATTAAATAAAAAGGGCCAAGGAATGCTTGGTGAAACGTACTTTTACAAATACAAAAACAAGCTCTCTCTATCCCTGTCCATCAGAATCAGTTTGAAACTATTTCCAACACTGTTAAATCCTCAGTATGCTTACAAATCAGAGCACTTATATAGAGGAACTTCAGCGCCCTTAATGCTGGCTCTGCCCCCTCACTGGCAAAAACAGAGGAGTTTTTAAAGTGGGTCAAGGTTTTTTTTTTTTTTTTTTAAAACCTATGTGCAGCCACTCTCCACCCCATCCAGCAATGATCTCCACAGCCTCTGCTGTCTGGGGACTCTTCCAACTCATTGGCTCCCCCTTGCAATCAATCACAGCCTGTGGGCCACTGGGGCATGCCAGGGCTCGGGGATGAGCATGTAGCAGTGCCCCCGGGGCTAGCAGCTTATCCTGGGGGCACAGCTTGAGGGAGAGGAGCCAGGAGTGCTGGTGGTGACCCGAAGAGAATCGGGGCTACTCTGTTCAAAATTACTGCAAAGAACTGGTAAGTATAGACATATTTGTTATATTAAAAAACAAAGCTTTACTGTCACTTTAGGTTTTGAATAGAATGTTGAGGGCCTAGAACCCCTGCCACACTTTTCCTGTGGTGTTCCCTGCTCAGGAGATTCATCTTCTCAATGTGAGCATTGCCCCCAGCATAGAAAATGATAGAAGTCCTGAGGCCCCTTGACCATAATTTATTGGTGTTTACTCAGGAACTTGTGATGCCCGTGTGCAAGGAGCCAAAAACTGTGTGTAAAAACCTGAGTAATGTTGAGTATAGGCAAGTATAGACAAGTAAAATTCCTCTTCATTGCCAGTATTGTGCCTCCTTGCACATGGGTGTCACAAGTTCCTGAGAAATCATCAGTAAATTTTGACGCTTGTGTGCAAGGGGCCTAAACGAGTAAATTACTGCACTCCAATGAAAACATTTCTATTTTTGTTTTACTGCTCTGTACTCAGCACTGTATTACTGATCTTTACTCAGCACTGTATTACTGATCTTTACTCAGCTGTGTGCAATGTCCCATAGACAACAATGCATCTCATTTCAGATCAGTAAAAAACTCCCAAATACAACAGGCCTACATATCTGACTGGTCACAGGAACAAGATGTAAAAGGAAATCTTCCAACAGTTCAGGTTGGCTGTGTCTCTAGAACAGGAAGTAATGAGAAATCTCCATATAGGTAAAAATACAAAAAAAAAAATGCAAAATCCTAACCACTCTCTATTGATAAAAACAAAGTTTTGCCTTTACATACATTTTAATCACATGATTTCAGTCCAAATGTTACTGTCATTTTCAGAATGCAATCTACATATCTCTTAGATTGTAAGCTCCCAGGATCGGGCCCTCCTATCCCTCTTGTATTGAACTGTATTGTTGCTGTATTGTCTCCCGTTATATTGTAAAGCGCTGAGCAAACTGTTGGCGCTATATAAATCCTGTATAATAATAATATTGTTACAAGTATCAGATTAGAAACAGCCCTGCTTTTATTTAGGGCCCAGTCACACCGCTGTGGTGCAGTGCCATGCAGTCCCATTCATTCTGAATTCACATTGATGTTTGCAGGTGTAAAAGTCCTCTAGCTTAAGATTCCCAGAGTTTTTCAATGGCGGGGAGCCACAAGTAGCGTTTACAGCCAGCCGTAGAAGTGAATGCTTGTTCATTCCAGTACTTGCTATTTTTCATCAGTGCACATGAGCAAACGACATACTCCCCGAATGGGAAACAGCATTGCCATTCACTTCTATGGCTGGCTGTACATGTCACCTGCAGTTCCCTGGGCATGAGAAGTCGCCAGCAATTTTACACGAGCCCTAGAAGTAGAAGTCCATTTTTTCCTGTTCTAAATCTTAGATCCACCCTGTGTACAAAAAGAAAAAGGAATTATAGATAACCAGTCTGTAGTTACCCACTCCAGGCCCCAGCGTTGTCCCTGTCTTCCTCCTTGGTCCAACGCCAGCTGTCCTCTCTGGGCAGTACAACACTTGCGCCATTCTGCCAATTTCCTCTGAGCCCAGCCTGTCTTTTACACTCCCCCTAGGGGGGGCACATCATAATGCAGGCTGGGCTCACAGTGCTCCAGGACTGAGCATGGAAGATGACATTACTTTAAGAGCCCATTCACACTTGTGCGACCTTGAGATCCAAAGTCGCATGACAAGTCGCACCCCATGTTTTCCAATGAGTACCATTCATACCTGTGCAACTTCCAAGCCGCAGCGACTTGAAAGTAGTTCCTGCACTAAAGTCGCACCCCACATTTCCCAATGAGTACCATTCATTCCTGTGCAACTTCCAAGTCGCAGCATCTCGAAAGTAGTTCCTGCACTAAAGTCACATGACAAGCCGCACCCCACGGTTTCCCATGAGTACCATTCATATTTGTGCAACTTCCAAGTCGCAGCGACTTGAAAGTAGTTCCTGCACTAAAGTCACATGACAAGTCGCACCCCATGTTTCCCAATGAGTACCATTCATACCTGTGCAACTTCAAAGTCGCAGCGACTCGAAAGTAGTTCCTGCACTAAAGTCACATGACAAGTCGCACCCCACGTTTTCCAATGAGGACCATTCATTCCTGTGCAACATTCAAGTCACAGCAACTTGAAAGTAGTTCCTGCACTAAAGTCGCACCCCACATTTCCCAATGAGTACCATTCATAGCTGTGCAACTTCCAAGTCGCAGCGACTTGAAAGTAGTTCCTGCACTAAAGTCACATGACAAGTCGCACCCCACGTTTTCCAATGAGGACCATTCATTCCTGTGCAACTTTAAAGTCGCAGCGACTTGAAAGTAGTTCCTGCACTAAAGTCACATGACAAGTCGCACCCCACGTTTTTCCCATGAGTACCATTCATTCCTGTGCAACTTCCAAGTCACAGTGACTTGAAAATAGTTCCTGCAGTACTTTGGTGCGACTTTAGGGCCACAGACTTTAATGTAAACCCTCCAAAGTCGCACCTGAATGATATACATGCGTCTTGTGTGCGACCTTGTACAGCACAACCATCCTCGGTCAAATCCAAAGTCGCATCAAGTCTCAAAATGAAAACTGTAGGATTTGGAAGTCGCACATGCGTGAATGGAGCCTAACGCAGCTCAGTCCTGAAAGCTCGCTGGAGAAAGTTGCTGTGATCTCACCGATCCAGGTGGACGACTGCAAGAAAATTGTACCTATAATTATTTAACACCTGGGAGGGCTTTGTTAGGTGGCTGAAATGCCCAGAGCTCCTTTGTAATGGCCCCCCAAACACGACCATGTGCTGCGCTGTGCGTATTGGGGCAAACGCTACGCCTGTGTGTTTCGGTGTGCTGGCGGCCCATTCATTGACTGCGCCACGCTCCCGAGCAGTACAGTGTGAATGGGTCCTCCAGGTGTAGAATCATGGGTGTGACTATTTCACACAGGCATGCTGGGACTTCTAGTCCTACCACATCTGGGTGGCTACCGGTAACCTGCTGTGCTGCAGATGTCCAGCCTGTAGTCACTATGGGCAAGGTGCCAGCACTGGGTCCTCCAGGCCTTCCACATGATGTCTGTAGAGGGGATGGCAGAACTGGCAGCCCTTGGAGCACAATTCCTGCCAGGCCTCATCTCATGCCGGGCCTGATGATGCTGTGTGGGCTCCCTAGGTGGACTCCTCTCCCAGTGGCAGCACCCACTGCCCGCTCCCCTCCTCTATGACTGGCATCTACATGAAGCGCCTGCTGTCACAGACAGTCCTTGTTATCCATTACCCAAGAAGCCCGGCGCCACCGTCCTCTCAGCCCCAAGATCCAGTTCACATGCAGATCACCGCCCCGTCCCCACGCCGGGGAAGCCGTCAAATGCTGCCTCTCCAGCGTTCTCGCCACTTCCGTCGCCGTAACCCCTGCCTGTTCCAGTGTCGGCTCACTTCCGGCCGCCATCTTTGTACACCCAGCGAGTCAGCGATAGCCAGGAACTGTCACTGCTTCAGGTGTAGAGGTTGAGTAATAGAGTACAATGGGAAAACTACAATATGTAGCACACTGCACATTATTTGTAATCAGAAGATCATATTGTGTGTGCTAGCTTTCTGACAGGAATGCTGCTTAGTACCGAATATACAGGCAGAGGACACATCCTGGCCATACATTATACAATTTTCTTGAGATTTGTGCTTTAGATTTACCAAAAACCATATAATATGAGGTCAAACCCAAACAACACTCTCAGTTGCATCAAATTAGGCAGGCCCTTGCACTACATAGTTGAAGGTAAATCTTAAGGAAATTGAGCAGAAGTTGGACAAAAAATTGTATAGTGTATGGCCAGCCTAATGCAGGCCATAGATGGATCGAAAACCGTCCATTTTGTTTTGAAAAATCGGTTGTTCAATAGGCTGACGTTACCAGCAATGGAAAAAAAAATCGGCCTATATTTGTCCCGTCTACGGCCGGCATTTAATTACTTCTGTCCCTGCAGAGAGCTCCGCTATTATATTTAACAATAAAAAGTATTGCGGTTGCAACATTGTATCTATTTGTATCCATTTTGGATACGGATGATTTTATTCGGATACAAATAGATACATTGTTGCAACCGCTATACTTTTTCATGTCAACTATAATAGCGACTGGAATTCTTCTTCTTTTTCTTCTTCCTCTTCTTCTTTCT